TAAATTAGGAACTAAGTAAATAAAGTCTAATTGTCAATTAAATGGTCCGGTAATTAAATGATCTCTGCTAGCCTGCTTTTGACCTCGAAAAACTTATAATGTATCTTTCAAAGCATCGCTGCTGCCTTGACACGCAAAATCTGGTAATCATGCGTTCAGCTTTCCTCAGACATGGCAACGGGCCCGGCCCCCGGGCTTTTTCGGCCCCAAAAATTTGCATGCGGCCGGGCCGACGGGGCTCGGCCCCACATCCGGCGGGGCCGGGGCTCGGCTTTGCTCGCCGGCCCCGGGATAAGCCAAAATGGGGGCCGAGCCCGGGGCCGCAAGGCCGCACGCTAATCAGAAATGCCGGTTGTAAATAACTTTCAGTCAAATTATTCATTCAAATTGTAAAAAATGATATTTTCAGAGGTTGCCATACATCTCCATATCTATTGCAGCCAGATCAGAACAGGTTCAGACCTGTATCTTAGAAGTTTTTGATAGTTGGGACGAATTATTAAAAAAGTTCAATGAATTTTACCGATACCGATGTCCTAACTGCACCAACGCACATAAAATTTTCATTGCAAATTTGCATATTAACATCCGAATTTAGACGCAAATGAGCTATTTTAGTTTCCGGCCCCGGAAAAGTTCGGCCGGGCCCGGGCTCGGCCCCGCGGATTTGCATATTTTTCCGGGGCCCGGAAGTGGGTATTTTTTTCATGTTAATTAGATTCCAGGCCCGGCCCCGGGGCTCGGGCCCCCGGAATTGCCATGTCTGGCTTTCCTTGAAGATTTCTGCTAGCTCGCCTTGAGCCCCAAAATTCCCAAAAAATCTCGGTTAGTTTGCCTGTGTTCGCTAATTTTCAAAAATTCCGTCCCATGTTGCGTTCTCATGTGGGGGGCAGGCTTCGAGTGTCCCATTTGGCCTGAGGGCCTTCCATTCCGCGCGACACCTATCGACAGACACTAGGACTACAGTGTTTATATCTCTCTCTCTCACTCTCTCTGTCTCTCTCGCTCTCTCCACCCTTGTACGTGATGACATCTGTCCATTCCTTCCGCATCCGCTTCTTCAGTTCCCGGAATGCCCCAAAAAGGCCTGGGCCAGGCCTTCGACGAAGCGTGGGAAACTAAAAAAAATGCCAGCCAAGAATAAGAGCTCTACAGACGGTCTGAAACCGTGAAGAGTATCGTATCGGAACACTGTTAGCACCTATCGACGATTTTTGAAAAAGCCGTTTCAATAAAGTTTTGAAACGCAAAAATGCGATGTTTCGCCGTTCTTCCCGGCGATTTCGATGGTGTAGCAACTAATAAGCGTCAAGCTATAATCGCTTAATTTAAAGCTCAGATTACTTCCGATTTTTAAAAAAAATATCAAAAATTTTGGTAAATTACGATTTTTTTAGAATTTTGGCGAATTTTGAAAGTTAGAGAGTATAGTAGAATTTTGGTTAACCGTTTCGAGAGCTTTCGATACTACCAAACTCGTGAAATTCGGAAGCGTCTGCTGGAAACTGGAAATATATAATCGCTCTCTCTCTCCCTCTCTCTCCTTCTCTCTCTCTCTCTCTCACTTCCACTCTCTCACTCTCTCTTTCTCTCTTTCTCTCTCTCCATCTTTTTCTCTCTTTCTCTCTATATATCTCGCCAATAGACATCATCCGTTCCTTCCGCATCCGCCTCTCGCGCCCCCTAAAATGTGCGCAAAAACAAAGGGACCCCTAAAGCCCCCCTAGAAGGGACTTTTCCCCGGCCCTGTCACACAGACACGTCCCGATTTGGGACTCGACCGCTTTTTTGGGACAAATAGCAGCGAGGGGCTTGCCTGGCGAGAGAGAGAGAGAGAGAGAGAGAGAGAGAGGGGGAGAGACCCTGCAGCACTTCCAGATTTTCCGGGGCGCGCCCCGAGAAAATCACCAAAATCTCGTGTGAGGGAAGCGAATTGATGGATCTGAAAGATACAATGTTAGGAAATTAAAATGTTTCATTCTCCTTTTTATAAAGTAAAAAACTTGCATGCAATTCCCGCTCACTAAACTCAAAAGGAATTTGCCCAGACAACAATGGAGTGTTTTGAAACATTTTTCATGGAGGGGTGCATGGTATCTGGTGGGAGGTAAAAGTCGCAGGATTTCGAAGAGTAGGTATCGTGAGTAGGTATTTTCACGATTTAGGAGCCTCGGAAAAGCATGTTCAGAAACCGATCGGATTTTGGAACTTCTGAAGCTTTTTCAGCTTTTTTCAGAATTGCTGATGCGTTTCCGATGAAAAGAGTTTTGTCAAAAAATCACAAATTCTGCATTTTTGTGCCTTTTTGGGCGGCCCAACGGTAGGATTTTCAAAGCAATTTGAGAAAACCCAGCAGAATTTCGACCTTTTTTGCCTTTTTTAGGAGGTTCTTATCTTTAAAAACTGTGTAAAATGCTGTAAAAATTATTTTTGGTTCGCGATAGGGCCTTGCGAAATTTCTAGAAAAAAAATTTGCTTCCCCTAGCTTAAATCCCCCCCCGCTATCAGCCCAGTACCAAAACAGGTTGTCATTTGCGCCTTTTTCTTACAGTTTTTCTTGCCGGCCCAAAGTGTCAGTCGGCCGGCTGCTAACCGTAGTCTAGCCCCCCCTCATAATCCATGCAAACAGACGAACGTCAAACATCACCAAGGAGGGCGGGGGGGGGATGCTTCTGCTTTGGCTCTTCAAAAATAGCCCCCTCGGGGCCTTCAAAGCGCCGGTTCAGCTCCCTCGCCCCGTAATTCGTTGCAATTCGCATTGTTTCGGGGGGCAGCGCGAAAATCGCGCGCCCCGCGCCCTTCCCCCGACCACCGGATAATCCGCTTATTTTTGGCGGGCCCGAAGCGCTGATCGCTTAGGGCCAAAACGTTCTTGGCCGGAGGGGGAGGTGGGTATTTGGAACACCGAAATTTGAAAAATCGGTTTTTTTGCATTATCGGGGGGTGGGGGACAAATCTTTTGTATGAGTCTAGAAATACCTCGGAACTAAATAGGAAGTATCTTCATAATGTTTCTAACGGAATAAACCATGTCGTTAAACTATCTAACAGTCTTAAAAAAATTTTTAAAACATCGAAGTTTTGGGGTTGATTTTTTTTTGATTTTGACAACCGTATTTTATTTACCCCCCCGGTGATGCGAAAGAACCAAAAATTTCCCGCGAAATATCTTTAAAGGGGGTCAAGAAGTCAAAATTCGTGTGCTCGGGATCGAATCTATTTGTTAAAAACTGAAAGATACTGTCTAAACGTCCCGAAACTTTATTCCGTTGCGAAAAAGCCCAAATAGTTCCGAAAAAATGTTTGCGGAAAATCGGTTTTTCCGACCCGGGTGAATTATATCAGGTTGGAAGGTCGGTCCTGTCCCCGAGAATTTGAAGGGCTGCCTAAAATCCTAGATAGCTCCATCCTGCAAAAGCGATATTTCATTTTGTAGTTTGTAGCCTGGGCCGTTTCTCGCGGCTGGACGTCGCGGTGTCGCGGCGGGTTCCTGGGCCGTCAAAATCAAGAAGGGAGGCCGAGATTCGGGTCCGGGAAGCTTTGCAAAATCACACAAAAGCCTTTGAGCAAGTTATCATCGGCATACAGTAATTTCCATGCGGCAACTATACCAGCAATCGGCAGCTCTCGATGAGTAGATATCGATAGATGTTGAGATCATCGAAATTGGACACTGGACGGTCAAGATACGGGCCCTTTGGATTGGAAAATTAGCCATCCCCCATGGGACTCGAGCCGCAATGTTTCATGGGTCAAGCAGTTCAAAAATGGATGTTTAACTGCAATTCGTTGAAGGTAGCGCAAGAATCCAAAACTCCAAAGATCAATCTTGCACGTTGTAAAATTTCGCTACATTTTTGCGCGTGAAATCGCCCGTTTTGTTAAAATCCCTCACCTTCACGCCCCGTTAAACTACGACAGATACCTAATGACGGCCGGGGAGTGAGTGCTGATTGTGACACATCTCGCCCCTGCTTTGCATGCGATATTGTAAGTAAACACTGGTCCTCTCTCTCAATCACTCTCTCTATTACTCTCTCTCTCACTCCCTCTCTCTCACTCTCTCTCCCTATTTGTCAAATACAAACACTCATCAGTCCCTCCACTCCGCCCTCCGCTTCCATGCAAATTACGCATTTTGTGGCGTTCCGACTTGAGGGTCCCGAACCGCGAGGGAAGCTGAGCAAAAGCGGATTTTCTCGGAAACTGGCTGTTGTAAAAGAGAAAGTGAGTGAGAGAGAGTGAGAGAGATAGAGAGGGAGAGAGGGATAGCGAGAGTGAGAGAGCGAGAGAGTGAGTGAGTGAGAGAGATTGAGAGGGAAAGAGACCGAGAGAGAGTGAGACGGTTAGTGAGAAAGAGAGAGCGAGAGTGAGAGAGAATGCTAGTAAGAGAGAGCGATAGCGAGTGAGAGCACTTAGAGAGGGAGAGAGCGAGATACAGATATAGACACAGAAACATTTACGCTTTTCCGTTGGGCTTTAACTTTAGAGTGCTGACGCATCACAGCTTCTCCGGCTCTTATCTATCCGCCACCAAAAACGCCGATGTCTCAAAAAAGTGCCAGGCTAACCCCCCCACCGCCAAGCCCCACCTTACGCGATTTTTTACGATTTTAGGGTATGTTTTGTTTGAAAGCAAAAAAATAATAAGCTTCGACGCGAGGTGAAGCTGAATTAGGTATTTGGATAAGCCACCGCGCTGGCCTACTTTTGAAACATTTTTTTCTCGTTGTAGAATTTTTAGAATTTCAGGTTCTTTTGCATTATCGGGGGGGGGGGGGGTGTATAAGTTGAGAAATGGCTATTAGCGTGCTCCTAAATATTTTAATAGTGTCTTTAGGAAAATTTAAGTAGATTTTAAGTGTAAAAGTCAGCTTAAAAACTTTTAAAAAATGCAAGGATTTGAGATTTTCTAGCATCATGTTTTCAAGAAATCAAACTTCGGCTACATTTAATTACTGGATTTATTTCAATGAATTCTTTTGTAATTTCAGCCCTGAATGCCGCCATTATTCTATTGTAAAGAGTGTGCTGCGGATCGGCCCTTTCAAAATCTGCGCCAATGTCGTCGGCAAACCCCCTTCGATTTCGAGCAGGTCAGCGAGCAGAAATAAATAGCTTTTTTATAAATATAAATATAGATATACATATCAAGCAAAATATATCAATAAAGATAAAAACAAGTAAGAACGCGTTAGGCGTTTGTGCGCGCTTATATCATAAAATGTTTCAGCTTCGAAACAACCTGATTTGCGACGACTGCTATCGGACGCACCTGCCTTGCGACAATTTGTACCACGACAGCCCGCTGCTGGCACTCGTAAGCATTAAATCATGTTATAAGTTATTACCAAATTCCAAAAAAATAATAACAATAAAAGAAAGCATATCTCAGAAAAAGCTCAAAGCCGACGATATCGAGGCGTTCAAAGGGCGGCTACTGACTTTCTTTCAAGAAACCGGCAGACTGCTCGAAGATCTCGAGCTTCGACGTGCGGTAAGGGGCATCATGAGGTTTTTTGAAATTCCATGTTTCAATTAAATTTTGACAACAATTCAATATTTTTAACTTATTTTTTATTAACAACAACGTCTTTTAACTTTTTAACTTTTTTAACCTTTAACTCTTTACATATTTTCAACCGCCCAATTCAATATTTTTAGATCTACAACTCGGAGGCTGACAGATGGGAGAGAGCTGCAGCATCAGAGGTTGATGAGTTGCTGGCCGTCCTGGATACCAATGCCATTTCACAGCAAATTGTAGAGGTATGCAAATCGGCATTTTGATTGTTTTAAAGTTCTCCAGGGTTTACTAAAAACCCTTTCAGCGGGCCGGAGTGTCCGATTTTTGCGATTCAGGTATCTATCAAAAGCTCTCGACGAGCTGAGACGAAATGTCCTTTCCGATCTTCGAAATTTTGCGAATCTTTCGCTCGATATTCGGCATGTTTCATACAAAAGTTATACGTTTCCCCCAAAAACTCAAATTTAATCAGCTCCAACCGCCATCCAGCAGCTTTTTGAAAGCCTTGAGAAAGAAAGTCGGCAATGCAATTAACTTGAGCTTTGGGGAAAAACGTGTCCCTTTTGCATGAAACATGCCGGGAATCCGGCCAACAATTCTCGGATTTCTATAATCGAATAGGCCGTCTGGATTCGCCTTTCCGAGTGCTTTCGATAGCTACCGAAATCGTAAAAATCGGACATCTCTGCGGCCCGCTAAATAATTATTTCTAAAAAAAAATCATAAAATTGCAGGAAGTCGCGCATCTGAGCTCGCTGGCCGCCCAACTTGCCCAGGGCTCGACTCCCGATGCACCGCCGGCCTATTCTTTGCCGCAACCCGCAAGAATAAATGAGACAGTTCAACGAGGTGGGGAGAGTTTAAAAGGCCGTTTGCGAGAGACCCGAACAAGGCTTGGCACAGTTTTTTTCGACCCCTTTTTATGACGTCATCTGAAAGAGCATGGTCGAATTAGTAGAGTGGGATGGTTTTGAAAGTTTTAAAAGTTTAATTTTGAGGTTAAAATGGGCCTCAAAGTTGCCGACACCCAAAAAATATGTCGAAAACTACTGAACAGAATTTGCCGAAACTTTGTGACAATCCCTAATTTGGGTCGGGGAACATTTTTCTAATACATTGCGAAACCAGAAAGTGGCCGGAACATAGGTATCTTGCGTACTAAAAACAGTTTTTTCGGAATTAGTAGTTTTACGGGTGATCGCTGCATCAAGCGATTAGTACCAAAAGATGCACCGAAATTTTCTCTATCGATTGATGTATCTTTTAGAATGCAGCGAGCACCCGTAAAAACCGAAAAATCGTCCTGAATAGGTCGCCGGAAGACCAAATTTGGCAAATTATTCGGGGAGTGACATGGCTATGATTCTATAGCCCGAGTTAGGATAATTGCAAAAAAGAGCAAAAAGAAATTAGCTTTCTAAAGGTAGGCTGCAGGATTGAGTCTAGAGGCGCCCCGGCGCAAGGATCCCGCACGCCACTACCAATGCACCACAGCGACAGCCGAACAGGCCTGCAGCCTAATCGGCCCCCGGAGGCCACACTCTCCCTTTCCCCCACTATCTCGCCTGCTCTAGCCTATCCCCACAAGGAATTCTTCACCAAAATGGCCGAAATTGACGCTTTGGCGACCCATTCAGGACGATTTTTCGGTTTTTACGGGTGCTCGCTGCATTCTAAAAGATACATCAATCGATAGAGAAAATTTCGGTGCATCTTTTGGTACTAATCGCTTGATGCAGCGATCACCCGTAAAACTACTAATTCCGAAAAAACTGTTTTTAGTACGCAAGATACCTATGTTCCGGCCACTTTCTGGTTTCGCAATGTATTAGAAAAATGTTCCCCGACCCAAATTAGGGATTGTCACAAAGTTTCGGCAAATTCTGTTCAGTAGTTTTCGACATATTTTTTGGGTGTCGGCAACTTTGAGGCCCATTTTAACTTCAAAATTAAACTTTTAAAACTTTCAAAACCATCCCACTCTACTAATTCGACCATGCTCTTTCAGATGACGTCATAAAAAATGGGTCGAAAAAAACTGTGCCAAGCTAGTATGGGGCCTGTTCGAGTGAGTGGCGGACGGCCTTTTAAGACTTCAGTGTTGTTTAACCCCCAGCCGGCACCGACGTACCGTATCTCGGCTGCCGGTTCATCTACAAGTGTCTAAAATATACCAAAATACTCGCCAGAGCAAGACGAACATTTTGGTATACTTTACACACCGTAGATGAACAGGGAGCCGAGATACAAAAGTTGGGTGCCGGCTGTGGGGGAGGGTGGTAAACTGCACTCTAACCGAGTTTAACTTGGTGTACATTGGGTGATGCCAACCCTAGAAGCGAGAAAAGTTTGTGCGTCTTCTGTGCAGCCGAATCTCCGACTAATTTTTGGCATGGCGGCGTAGAAAAAAACACATTCGCTAAAAAAATTTTCCCACACATTTTTACAAGTTTTGCTTTGAGAAATTCCTGCATTTCATGATTTTACAAGCACAATGGTGCAAACCCCTTCAGAAATGGGCCTACGTGCCGCTTTGCAGGCCCAATCGGAATTTCGGGGTGTAACTTTATCTTTGTTCCAGCTTCACGCTCCGAGCAACCGGCGCCAAGCCGAGAACGTCTGCCCGTTGTTGCCCAGCCTGTTCAACCAGTTCAACAAGTTCAAGCAGCTCAACCAAATCAATCAGCACCCCCCGATCGTTCACGGGCCCGCAGAGCGCAGACTCCTACAAGGCACGTTGGATACGAAAGTTTTGCGCAAAAATTATCACTAGAAAAAAGCAAAATTATTTAGCGGCTTTCTTTTACAATTTCGAAATTCAGAATGTAGAAATTTCAAAATATCGACATTCATACTGCGGAAATTCACATAAGTTAATTGGTAAAGGTTGCTTAACGGGGGGGGGGACAAATAACGGGGGTGGAAACAATTTTTGTATTTATAAAGACCATCCTGATATTTTGAAAAAGCCATCGGATAGAGCGTCGAAAATTATCAACTATAATAAAAAAGTAAAGACGTCCGTCTGTGTGTCCGTGTGAAGCCGAATTCAACTCGAAGGGGAAAGGAGCTAGAGCTTAGCTCTCTTCGGATTCGGATAGAGCATGGTCAGAAACCCCTAAACTGATAAAAAAATTATGAAAAAGTTTTCGTTTAAATTATTAAAATTAACTTTGAAAGTGGCGCCTTAATAAAACGAGTGGGGGCCCCTCTCCCGGCTGGCCACGCCCCCTTTCCATTCGCCCCTCTTCCCCAGGCCCTTCCCGCACCCAGATAGCTTTTTAAGTTACTTTAATACTTTTTAATATACTTTTTAATACTCTTGAATTATGTTAATTAATTATTTAAATCATTTAAAGTATCTGAAGCCATCAGGAAGGTATTTTGGTAGTTTTTGAAGGGGATTTCGGCTGTGGGGGATATCTGAAGCCATCAGGAAGGTATCTAAGTGTTTTTAGACCGATTTCCTAAAGCGGAAGCGTGCTTGCGGATTTTTGCGGCATTTAACCTGAAAGCGCATTAGTAAAACGAGTGGGGGAGCCCTTTCGCGCCCTCCCGGCAGGCCGCACCCCTTTCCCCCCGCGGGTCCCGCCACGAATAGCCTGCCCGGTCCGGGTTGCCTCCAGTAACCAGTAAAAACCGGTGGGCCTGCATCATCGTTCGTTGTTTTTCTTTTCTTTTTGTTCATATTGTTCTTTTGTCGTGTTCTTGCCGTGTTCTTTGTCTTTATCTTTGCTTTGATTAATTGCGTTGTTTTTCAGGAAACACTGCTTTGCATTGCGCACCTCCTTCCTAAAAGTCGAGCAGTGCCTGAAAGGTAAGCGTAATAGAACCTCTTGGAGATTTTCTATTTTAGGTTACTGCAAGTCAGCGCCGAACAAGCACTTCAGGCCGTCAATTGATAGGTACGCTCGAGTTTTATTCACTTTATGTCATTGTTTAGGCGCAACCATTCCTTCCGTCCTCGCACAGCCTGCTCGGTGTTGAAACGCGGCATCGGTGGTAGTTTGCGTGCGCACCTCCAGCTTACACATACCAGAGCCCGGCAGGTATCAATATTTTTTCGCGTAATGTTTTACTTTTTAGGTGACTGCCAGTCAAAGCCAAAGCTCACGCTTACCCGGAAGACATTGTCAGGTAAACTCGAGCTTTCTATACTTGACTTAAATGTTTAGGTGCAACGCTGCTTCTTCGCAGAGCCTCCTCCGCCTCGAGAACGCGGTCCCAAGGCCGTGCACGTTTTGCGTCCGCGTCCCTTTGCCTGCGCACCGCCTTGCAAATATAGTAGAGCCCAAAAGGTAGACATATTTTGCGGATAATAATTTCGTTTTTAGGCCAGTGAAGGCCACCGCACAACCTAGGACTCATCCGTGGCATATTGCAAAGTAAATTCAAAATTTCATATCTCACGTTCAATGCTTAGGCGCAACTCCATCACTGCAAGCAACCCGGTCGAAGCGGCATGCCGCGTGCCAGATTGACGGCCGCCGAGCGCGACGCTGCTGCGGATCGTCGACGGCAGCAACAACAGGTACGCAGGGCGGCGGAGTCGGCGCAAGCGGCGTCGGAGCGAAGGACTGCCAATGCAGTGCAAAACCAGGCGAGGCGCCGCACGCTATCGCCCGGCACCTCGGCGCAAATCCGCCAAGCGAATGCGGCCCAACATGCCGCGAGGCGCCGCACGCTGTCGCCCGGAACCTCCACGTCGATTCGCCAAGCGAATGCCGCCCAAAATGACGCGAGACGGCGCACGCTGTCGCCCGCGACCTCGACGCAAATTCGCCAAGCGGATGCGGCCCAGCATGCTGCGAGGCGCCGCACGCTGTCGCCCGCAGCCTCCACGTCGATTCGGCAAGCGAATGCCGCCCAACAACGCCAACACCGTGCCCAGCTCACGCCAGTGCAGGCGACCGCGGTTTACCAGCAGCGTCTGACCCTCCGGCAACAACGAGCCGCCGCTGCCGTGCGACCAGGCCGCGATCCTGCTTCACGCCCTGCCCAACACTACCTCGGGCCGATGGCCTTGCAATGCCTTGGTTGCAATGCCGTGCATTTCCAAGCCGAAGCAGTTGGCGCGCGCCCGCAATCGTTCCAAGTATGCTGCGGTGGAGGGCAGGTCATCCATGACCCCTTTGGAGACACACCGCAGGAACTCCAAGTGCTCTTCGAGCGGCTCCACGTGGCTAGCGCCAACTTCCACGACAACATCCGGCAGTTCAACGGAGGCTTGGCAATGGCGTCGATGGCCGGGGATTTCCAACCGCCGGCTGGACATGGGCCATATGTGTTCCGCATCCACTCCACGCACTACCATCGGACCGGCCCGCTTCACCCCAACCCCGGAGAGGCACCCAAATGCGCGCAGATCCTGATAATGGATACGGAAGAAGCCGCTGCCGAGTTGGCCGGGCGCCCGATGAATCGCGCCTGCAACGCCGACCTTTTCCGACAACTCCACCAAGTCATCAATCGGCATCATCGATATGCACAGGCCTTCAAGTGCATGGATGAAGTCGTAAAGGAAGAGGAGCGCCAAGCCGTAGCCGCCGGGCGGCCGCGCCAAGCGGACGTGAAAATGGTTTTTGTGACCGATGGGCGTGACGACCAGCGCCGTTACAACGCGGCCACAGCCACCGAGGTCGCGGTCATCTACGTTGGGGACGAAGAGGACATCCCTGGAGAAAGGCAATTCGTGATCCACGAACGCAACCGGCCATTGAAGACGATCAGCATCTTGGATCCCCGCCTCGATCCGCTGACGTACCCATTGTTGTTTGCAACCGGGCTTAATGGCTGGCATCCCGGCCTGACCATTGCCAACCCAGGTACGCGCAAGAAGACACGGATCACGATGCGCCGCTATTACGCGCATCTCTTCTTCCCGAGGCCTGGCAAATTCAATCCGCTTCTTCGTGCGGGACGCCTCGCCCAACAATACGCGGTTGATGTTTTCATGCGAATGGAACAAAATGACCTACAGTTCATCCGCCAAAACCAGAAACTTCTGCGTTTGGACGATGTCGGTGGCCTGCGCCAACATCTCAACAACAACAATCCAGGCGATCCAGCGCCAGGACGAAACATTCGACTCGGCTCGAACTTCAAGGGCGGCCCCGGATACATGTACGCGAAGTACACAGACGGATTGGCGCACGTCCATCGCTTCGGGAAGCCCGACCTTTTCATAACCGTCACATGCAATCCAAGGTGGCGCGAAATCGAAGAAAACCTGTTTGCCGGCCAAACAGCTTCTGATCGCCCTGATTTGGTGGCGCGCGTCTTCGACCTCAAGGCCCAAGCGATCCTCAAGGAGCTGACGAAAGATGGGATTTTCGGAGAGCCCAGTTGCTTCATCTGGGTAATCGAATACCAGAAGCGCGGGCTCCCACACATGCATCTGCTGCTCACGTTGAAATCCGCCTACAAGTTGCGCACAGAGGTCGACGTCGACAACGTCATTTGCGCGGAGCTACCGGATAAGACGACCGATCCGGAGCTCTACAACATCGTCTCAAGTTGCATGATACACCGCCCATGCGGATTTGACAACCCGGCCTCGCCATGCATGGCGAATAACAAGTGCCAGAAGGGATTCCCCAAGGCATGGCGCCAACACACGACGATGAACGACGATGGGTATCCAGCTTATCGTCGTCGCGATGATGGACGTTTTGTGATCAGCCGGGTCAACGGGCGCGAGATCAAGCTCGACAACCGCCACGTCGTGCCCTACAGCCCGTACCTGTCAAGAAAGTTTGCTGCGCACATCAACGTCGAATATTGCGGAGTCGTCCATGCGGTGAAGTACATCTACAAGTACTGCTTCAAAGGCCCAGATCGAGCGCGCGTGGAAATTTCTGGCGGTGAGCCAAAAGATGAAATCAAGCAATACCTCGACACCCGCTACGTCTGCGCGCCCGAGGCTCTCTACCGTCTCTTCGGAGGTAAGATGGACGACCAGTCGCACTCACAAGGAGTCGTTTTTGGGTGATATTGGAGTTTTTGAACGAGACCTAGCTAGTCCGATCGAGAAAAAAAATTCTGAATAAGATGTCGGTTTCCAAATCTGCTAACCGTGTATTGTATTCAATAAAAATTAATTTTAATGAAAAAATTCCTGGACGTCAGGCTGCGACCCATGGATCAGGCCCGGGACATAGCCCACAGCGCAAACCAGCATCCGCATGAGATCGTGGCCTGGTGGGTAGTGCCGGCGCATCAAACTTTTGCAAAATTATGCCCAGGGTTTGGAACTTATTGTGATTTATTGTTTTGCTTTTTGATTTTTCATGCCATTGAAATCGAATTTGGCATTATCGAGCAAAAAGCAAAAGAGTTTTACTAGCGAGGAGTCGAACCCGCTGGCAAAAAAAGACATAAACTTATGAAGCAAGCGTACTACCAATAGGCCAGCTGGTCATGGCTGGAGGGAGGCCTAAAGGGGGCTATGTAAAATTAATTTTTATTGAATACAATACACGGTTAGCAGATTTGCAAACCGACATCTTATTCAGAATTTTTTTCTCTATCGAACTAGCTAGATCTCGTTCAAAAACTCCAATATCACCTAAAAACGACTCCTTGTCAGTCGATCGGCTGCCGGTTCATTTACCCGATGGAGCCACCGTGTGCTTTGAGGCCGGCGATGAGGAGGAGGCGTTGGAGCGAGCCGAGGGAAAAGACACTATGCTAACTGCATTCTTCAAAATCAACCAGCAGAGCTATGAGGTGG